GGTTATGGAAGGCATTTGGGTTTCTAGGTTACGGCTTCAGACTAAGTATGAGAGAGAAGGGTTTCTTCTATAATAAAAGAATGTTTATTATATGATTAAAAAATTAATAATATATACAGTGAGATTGCCTAAAACACAAGAATTTTTTTTAGTAATAATATTTTGAAAAAAATACACAAATAATCATGTTTTAGAGAAATTTACGCAAATGACTATGTTTCTAAAAAAAGTGAATTAAAGAGGATGCGCCACTTGAATTAAGCGTCCTATAAATTTTTCAAATTTTTTCAGTTACCTGCTGATTTTTCTTCAAATTTGACATTACTTGCAGATTTTCCTACGGAATCACCTACAATAAAATAGTTCGCGGATAAATCCGAAGGAAACTTCAAATCTGCAGAAAAATTCGCAGGTAAATAAAAAAAATATTTAGGAGATGGCTAGGCGCCATCTCACTTGACGCCTCCTTTAAAAAAATTAATGCATGCGACATCTGAGATGACTACTGCATTATAATATTTTCCGAAATATTATTATTTACGTAAATTTCTCCAAAACATGGTTGTTTGCATATTTGTTTTTCAAAACATGGTTATTGTTAAAAAAAGTTCAAAAAATAATACATGATATTTTCTTGAATTTTTTGCATTTTAGCTTTAGTGATATCAGGAAAACATTTATATATATATATATATATATATATATATATATATATATATATATATATATATATATATATATATATATATATATATATATATATATATATATATATATATATATATATATATATATATATATATATATATATATATATATATATATATATATATATGAAATTTAAAGTTTTTATTTATAATATTTATTTTATGTATATATTTGAAGAGTAAATTTTAGCCATAAATATTTTTATGTTTGGAGGGAAGATATTTTAGAAGTATTTAAATATTTTAAGAAACGCTTAACAAATGTAGTTTTTTTTTGGTTAGAAATCATGCAACAATTAAAATTTGTTCCCACAAATATTTAAGGGAACATCTATTAAATATTGCCAAAATATTTGTTTTGTAATGTTGGAAAGTCGTCCTCATAGGAGTAGGGGACGATTATATGATGTTGATATATATTGTTGGCAACAAGTACAAATTGTTGCCAAAAATAGTTTTAGGCAATAATTTTCACATGTTGCATAAAAAAGTGTTGTCAAAGATAACAAATGTTGTAGTGAATTAATTTCCACATCATTATTAATTATTTTAAATTATTAATTTGATTTTTAATTTCTCACTAATATTTTTATTATTATTAGTATGAATTAAAAAATTAATTTCCTTTTCGATTACCACGTGAGAGACAATATTCACTTCGTAATTGTTTTTGGGTTTGCAATATATAACCCCCACCATTATCCAAATCGAACGAAAACGACAAGTATTGATCCAGGTATGTGTTTTTCTATGTCTTTGTCTCTGGTTCAAATGTGTCGTCTTGCTTCTTTTATATGAAACCCTAATATGATATGTCTTTGTATGTGGTCCAAATGTGTTGTATATTTATTGTTTGTGGTCCCAATGTGTTGTATATTGGTTGTCTATGGTCCCAATGTCCCGAAACCCTAATTGTTTAATATGAAATTTTATCCCTTTTGACTTATACAGGCCACATACACCACAAAAAAATTAGGCCATGAGGTGCTTTCTCTATTCTTGGTTGGCACGTCCATGTTTGTGGACAAATTTACAAATTACGTGGATGTGGCTTACCTTAAATATTTCATCGACTTGGAGTCCATTCACGAGTAGAATTGGAGGGTAGTGTTCTTGGTTTATCTGTACTCCAACCTGAACGAAAGTTGCAAATAGATGAGAAAATAGATGACAGGCTCCTACACCCTGCTTACGGTAACTTCCAAATCCCACTATTAAGTTACAAAGTAATATTTTTGTCACACTTGTTACTAATATTTTTTTCTTATTCGTTTTCAGAGATGGATCCTTGCTCACTATCACTGTATGCACGAGTTTAAACGTGACCCATTATGTACTCATGATTGGCCATTTACTTTTCGGTGTATCCCTACTAGAGGGAATGATCATACTTTGTCGTATTGTGTGTATATCGACCAGACTTAGCATGATGACGTAAAGTAGAGGTCATACGGTACTCATCGGGATACAGTTTCATTCGATCACATTTCCTTATGCTCTAGATGGTTGGCATATGGGACCAACATCATGTGCATGTATCTGTCCGAGCGGTGCATGCATTAGTTTGGGTAAGTGAAGATCATTTTGAGGTCCCTCTTACAGGAAGCTCCTATCAGTATTATCCGCAAAGACCTGAAGGACATTCTGACAGATTTTGAGAGTCGTCTGGTATTGGTGGAGTATCAGACTCATGAGACCATATCTCTGTGAAGTTATGTTGATGGTTACATGACATGATTCTATAACGTGTCACACCCTTACATAACACATTACGCTCCTGGACGTCCACTTAGGCCTGCTCATGAGGAGATCTTGTAGAATATGCATGCCATGGATAATCGTGTTGTTGACGTCTTATCGATTTGTCAGACCATTATGCAGTTGACAGGAGAGGGCATCAATTCTGGACTGTTCCAAAGAGGTGCCATGAAGCAGTTGAGCTAGCATGTTCCATTCTTGTCGAGGCACATAATGCCTTGGGTTACCGTCGGTAGAGGAGGAGTCAGGAGGTTAGGATTAGGCATACTCAGTAAACTATGTTATTGATTGTATTTTGTTTATTTTCCATTGACTTGGAGAACAATTATTGTACTATTATAATATTTATGATATTCGTTTTTATAATATTCAGTTTTATTAACGCATTACTCAGTTCTACAATATTCATTTTTATTAACCATTGAAACAAATAACGACAATGCTACTCGAATTAAAGTAGTTTGGATTGAAAACACCACAATGTTATTAAACTGGTTCTGGAAAAAAGACACATGCAATAATTCGGAGATACATATCCGAATTTAATCCAAAATAGTTCGAATATACATCTCCGAAGTCATTTCTCAATAAAATTGGGTGGCTGTTTGATTTTATAAGAACATATGGTGACTTTGGATATGCAACTCCGCATTTACCCTAGGGGTGTATTCAGAGACTAATTTTTGCCAAAAATTTGGTATTTGGTGCGTTCGAAAATTGATCTCTAAATATACCCAAGTGCATTTTTTGGATTTTCAGAGATGCATCCCATATAGTAAGGGTGGGATGAAAAATTATCTTTTATTTTCCATATATATGCTTGCCAAAAGAATATATTGACATTAAATTCATAGTTTTATGTTATCTATTGTTATTTTACTAGGGGTCTGTTTGATAAAAATAACGGCTGACTGATAAACTAGTTGACAAATTATAGTTTATAGTTGATGACTGATGACTAATAACTTATAACTTATAATTGATGGTTGAGACTGGTAGCTGATAAGCTAATTGAAGTGTTTGAAAAAATCAGCAGTTCAAATAACTTATAAATGTAAAATGACATAAAAGTTATTTAATATATAACTATTTTATTTTAAATTAAAATAAATTATAGAGGATAAAAGTGAATTTTGTTAAAATAATAAAGATAAAAAAAAAGGAAGAAAAAAATAAATTATAAAGTATAAGCTAAAATGCTATTTGAATAACGTTTGAAAAATAAGTTATAAACTACTAAAACAAATTATAAACTCGTGATCAAAAGACCGTAACAAATTTATCTAAAATATCATTTGAATTTATAAACTATAAGATGTAATTATAAATTTAAAATTCTGTCTTACCAAAATGACTCTAGTTGTATGTATCAATTGAAATTGATTCTCTTTCATTCATCTTATAATAAAATAAATTGTATTTCAAGAATATAATTAAACATTTAATTGATTAATTAAATTCTATTAAATAAAACTATTATAACATTTTAGTAAGACAGCAGAGAAAAATGAAAAACAAGAAAATGACATGCATAACAACACTATTATCCCCTTTAATTGAATACAAGTGGGAATTGATTAGTTGATCCACCAATCATATTTGAGACAAATACACATTCTCGTATTTCTTTAAATTTAAGCTTCTTAATATCTTTAAATTAACAAAATTAAAACAAGGCAAAAGCTAACATTTTGGAGCACATGTTAACATACTATTTATAAAAATATTCTTTTGAAATTCATGAATTCAATTTATTAAAATTTTAAATGTGATTTTACTGTACTTAAGTTTTTCTAATTATAGTATATAACACGTGTCTTTAGGACACATGTTATATTAATTTTTTTTACTCAAAAGTACTTTTGTCTTTGTAAAAGTAACAAGACTTCTCTCCCATCATTTTCTATTCAACCAAACAAGTGTAAAAAGAAAAATATTTCTCTTTTTTATTTCACTTATAAAAAACAATATTTCAAATCTATTTTATTTCTCATCTTTTTCTATCTTCCTACGATCTCTCTCACTTATTCTCTCTTTTCACTTTCTCTCCAACCAAACACACCTTAAAAATGAGTTCAATTTACTCTGTATTTTATCAAATGGAAAATTATTAGAAGTAAACAAGCTTTATTTGCTCAAATATATAATTTTGAACAGATTTGAAAATTGTAACCTAGTGAATTTCAAATCCAACCTTCTTATGATAAAATCTGAACTGTTTGGTTTCAATTAGGTCAAATCATTATCGACACAAATATACTTCAAAAAAAGAACCATTAGTACAGTTTATGTTACAATCCATTGTTAGTAATTTCCAAAACTATAGACAAGTGGCTCCATCCATCTAAAACTCAAAACTACCTCAATTTATAAGGCATGCAAAATCTCCTACTTATACACATGTATACTTTGTACCAAGGAAACACAAAGAAAGAGGTTATAACTGAAGATAATGTGATCAACACTTCAATTATTCCCCTTCAACAAAATATTGTGCTTCCCTTTTTACTCACAATTATCATAATCCTACTATTGCTACCCTTTCACTTTCCTTCGTCTACAATATTTCAGGACATTCTTCCATTTTTCACAAGAGCCTTGTACAGTGGAGGTTCCATTCTGGTAATGTTGTTCATCCTCAAGAACTGGTTGCTCCTCCGCCTATAAACCAATCAAATTATCAAGAAATGAGTAAGGGGGGCACATTGTAAAAAGATAACAGTTTATTCAAATTTCTAACTCTCAATACAAAATAGCATTTCGTAAAATAACAATGGTGGGGAACAAGATGGAAGTACCATGGTGACACAGTCAATAACAGGTTCGTTAGATACATTATCATCATCGCTTCCGCCTTCAAAAACACTGCAAAAAACTATCAGGTTGGTTAGATACAATCATGCTGATAACTTATCCCGATTCTAAGTAATTATTTTGGTAGGATCTTATGATCCCAGTGTTGTCAAGCATTAGCATCGTAATGCCACTACAACGGCTATTTAACAAGATTTTGTCCTAAAAAGATTGTCAAAATTCCACTTTGCTATAGCACTATAAGGCCGCTATAACAACTATTTAACATTATATGATCTTTATTGTGACTTATGTTTTGCGATCTTGCTACCACTCACGATGCTAGGCAAGATCTCAATCGAGACAATATTGATGACAACAATAGATATATGGTAACGGGCAGAAATTACTTTCTCGTATGAATAACCTTTCTTGTATGGTAAGGATTAAATAGACAGAGGGGAGACATACTTCAACATTGGTGTGTCGGACGTTTCTTTCATAACTATCTCTCCTGCTTGGTAAACTTCAGATACTGGAGACTTATTAGCACTACTGCTTTCCGAGATAGCACCAACTTTTTGTTGGAACTCTGCATAGAGAAACATTGAAGTTGTAAATGTATTTTCCTTAGCAAGACATAAACTTACTTACTTGTATCCTATATATGATTACAAATTACATACCTATTGGCAAAACAGAATCTGGAGATGGCGTCTTAGTCAACAACTTCTGGCACATGATGGTACCCGGAAAATCTAGGAAAGTATAGTCAAGAAATTTTGACCTCTCAAGTTCTGTCATCTTTGAAAAGCCAAAAGGACCGGTCCATGTATCTACCACACTGGGAAGAGCAGGCAAAACAAGATGCTTCACTCCTAATTGCATGAGTTTCTGGGGAAAGAAATACAAGTTAAAAAATTATGAGAATCTGGGTATCTTTGATGGTGAATACAAAATTGTAGAATACGATCAGTAATTAGTTTTACAATGTGTCAAACTCAAAGTAGCAATAGTGTTTTACCTTTTATAACGTAAACTGTGTTGAACTTCCATATAAGTATGACTGCACCACCGGCATCAGATTCCTAGTGTTTTCTTAGTTCTCAGTTCTATACTATGAAGCACGGGCTCCGACACTACATGAACACGTCACTGATGTAAAAAATATAGGACACTCTACATATATGATAGTACCTAATAGTAGAGGTGTCTTTCATGTGTCATATAAGTGTCGGACACCGATGTCACATGACACAGTGCGACACACCTAATCCTTGAGGTGTCTGTGCTTCATAGGTTCTATATGGTTTATTTTGGATGGGTTCGGCAGTTTAGTTTGGCTCAGTGGTTTCTTTTGAAAAAAGAGAAATGAGTTCCTTGTTCTTTACCTTTTCCAGTTCATCCATTAAGATGCGGCACATTCCATGTCGGCGATATTGAAATCTGGTACCAACGAGAGGTACTTCAGCCACCTTATCTCCAAAGATCCTAGAAAGTTAAATAGTAAATCAAGATTACCATAACACAAGCCATTAAAAAACAGCAACTCAAAAAGAAATATAATAATTCAGTCAAACAGAGCCTAGTTTTTTTATGGAAACAAATCCTATACTCACCTAATAGTTGCCACACTGACCAGCTCTTCATCTTTCTCTAGAAGTACAGTATAGAAACCTTGGAAATTCATTCGATTAAGTTCTGACCTGAAAAATTCACATGTACAGATATCAGATATAGGACAAGAGGTAAAGATATAATTCACAAAATTTAGAGACAGATACCATGACCATGGACAGTGACAATACGTCAGTAATAGTATAAATGCATACAAGGCCAAATACTTCCACACCGGTTGATTAACTTTAAAAGAAAGTTTCCTATAAGAACTGTGACGTTTTAAATGACACTCTCCTATAAGAATCACTGACCATCTGCTGAATATAACATCTTCCACTAGATCTCTTCCAGAGGAGGGTTCCTTTAGGGGCTCAAAACATTCATGCATCACAGAAAGAGCAACATTGAGTTTGCTGTAAGTTTCTGCCAATAATCCACTTTTACTACTATCAAAATCACAACTCTCGGAGTCGATACACTTCACCAATGTCCATGTTAGATCGTCCACGCCCACTGAAACTGGCTCTCCCAACAGTCTTTGAAGGCCTTCATATAACTGCGGAAAAATAGACAACAAAAATTTAGAGTGGCATTAAACTTAATTGTATTTGCCATTGCCAAGTCATAACATGTAATTTTGCCCAAATCAATCCTCATTAAATCCATTAGATTTACCAAAAACACATATACAGAAGTATCAACGGTAAATATAATTTTATTTCAAAGAAGCAGATAAATTACCAAATTTCTACAAAAACATGGCTAAAACTTTCCAATAAATAACTACAAATACATTTAATATATACCTTTTCACAGTCTTTTCCGCAGAACCGGCTTTCCACATAACTTCTGGACTTACTTGTATCTCTACTTAGCAGGCATGCAACATGATCTACATTAGGTTCACAAAGATGACATGGTAAGTATAGTACTGTTGATTAACAGATGCACATAAATACACACAAAAATCAAAAGATATCTACGTATAGACTAAATGTGTAAGCAAATGTATTATATGTATCAGTGTATTCAATTCATTTCGATACAAGCTCTAACACATACTTACATTTATGTTCACACTGAATGCATTTAAGGAAATGTCCATCCTCACCACCCCCATTGAATTTTCTTTGGCCACAAATCCCGCAAAGACATGATGGACAAAACCAATCACCATCAGGGACGTCCTATACAGGAAAAGCAAAGTTGAATTATTGGCGTGGAAAAATTAAACTGAAGTAAATACGAGAATACAAAATATACCATGAACTAGAGTGAAAATGGTTAACCAACCTCCAGACCAAGACACGTCTTATGATATGAAGACAGGCACCGATCACACAAAAGAAGTTCGCCCTCGTTGCGGCAAACGGAACAAATGTAGTCGTTTTCAGTCTGACACAGATCACTCTGTGATTTTACCATAGCATCCCTTGGCACATGATCTTGCATTATTTGTATCTGGCACTGTAAGAGCGACCTACCATCATCCAGAAAGATACTAGCACTTGGTCTGGTGGTATTACTGCCAATAGCATGAAATTCGAAGGAAACAAGACTGTATATTTTATGACAACATTTACACTTGATTCCATAGTGAGTTATTCGACCTGAAGCCATGACACGCAGTCTTTTTGCTACATAACAAACATTAGACCTTGGTAACACCACTTTGCTGTCTATCAACCAAGACACAACATTCAGAACTTTCTGATGTGATAGAGAAGGGACAGAAACATTTCGCACTCTTTTATTTGATCTCACTCTTAGACTTGATTCATCGCGTTTTCGCTTTGATCTATTTGTAATAACCCTGTCTATAGTGTGTAACTCGGTCTCACGAGGAAGCGAATGTGATGCTTTACTTGATAAGTCATCATCACTTGGTAACCGATCAACATTTTCATCACTAACAAATGGTTGAATGCCATACATAGGTGATTTTGGAATACTTTCCTGATCAACACTTTCTTCGTTAACAACTGAGGCATTTAAAGGTTCAATGCCAGAAACCGATGATCTTCTAACACTTTCCTCAATTAGGAATTTGCATACCATGTTTAGTGACTTAAATTTCTGATTTTGCGGAGAAGTATATAACACACCCCTTCTTCTGTTTTCCAGTGGCGGGTCAGTTAAAACCCATCCTTCTTTCAAGAGATGCTTTCTTATTTTCGAAATAAATTCTTTTTTATCACGCCAGTTCGGCTCGAATGCATGTTTATGATAGTCAACAACGGCTTGAGGACAATACACTACAGAAGGAGTAGCTTGTTCTCCCTCCACTGCAACAGAAGAAGGCACCGCAGCCAGAGATCTTGATTCATCACGTTTTCGCTTTGATCTATTTGCAGCAACCCTGTCTATAGTGTATAACTCGGTCTCACGAGAAAGCAAATTTGATGCTTTACTTGATAAGTCATCATCACTTGATACCCAATCAACACTTTCATCACTAACAAAAGGTTGAACGCCAGACATAGTTGATCTTTGAATACTTTCCTGATCAACACTTTCTTCGCTAACAACCGAGGAGGCATTTAACGGTTGAATGCCAGAAATAGACGATCTTCTAACACTTTCCTCAATTAGGAATTTGCATACCGTGTTGAGTGAGCTAAATTTCCGGTTTTGCGGAGAAGTATATAACACACCCCTTCTTCTGTTTTCGAGGGGCGGGTCAGTTAAAACCCATCCGTCTTTCACGAGATGCTTTCTTATTTTCGAAATAAGTTCTCTTTTATCACCCCAATTCGGGTCAAGTGCATGTTTGTGGTATTCAACAATGGCTTGAGGACAATGTGCCATTGCAACAGAAAAAGATTCCATTTGCATAGCTTTACAAATCTCAATAAGTGAGTAGTAAAATTTCTTGCGACACAAGATTCCATGGGGTGGCGTGTACCTGAGATGATTACCATTTTGGTGAATTTGCCATCCAAGATATACAAGATGCTTCCATACTCTTTCCTTCAAAGTCTTCCTGTTGTGAGAAGAAGCAAGTGCATATTGTCGAACAGCTTCCGGGCAGTATTCCGTTTCAGACAACATTACAGGTTCCCAATTACACCAGTTTGAACAACATTCTATGAATGCCATGATCACAGAAAACCCTCCTCAAAACTCTTAACCTGAAAAAATATTCAAAACTTCAAATCAAAACTTCAGGTAAAATCTTAATAAATTGCACAAAATCACGCAAATGTTTTACTAAGTTGAACAAAATCACGCATAATCGCACAAAATCAAATCTTATTAAATTGTAAAAAATTGCACAAAATGTTATTGAATTTACACTGAAACACATGAAGTTTCACGAGTCAATTGGACTTCAAAGGACTATCTTTAATAAACGGTCGCTTTATTTTTTGTTTGATGATTAATATAAGAACCAGAATACTGAGTTTCTTGTTTCGAATAAAAGAAAAAAAAGAATACTGAGTTTCTTTTCTGATTAATGAATAAACTATGTTTTTTTTTCTTTATTCAAGATGCTATTTTTGAAAATTTTACCTCCATATCCCTACAGTTATATTCATATTCCAAACATTTTAATTTTTTTTTTGGATGAAAATGTCTTTTATATAAATAGTAAAAATCTAAAAGAATTGTACTTTTCATTTTCATGCTCAAAAAGACTTCCGAAACGCTCTTAGATCGACTACATTTCGGAACACTTTTTTTAATTTTTCTGGTTCACAATTATACATACCAAAACACTTGAGATAAGTCTTACGGTTTTGATCATTAAACTGGAACACATTATAAAAGACACCAAATGTGTTATTTTCTATCCGAAACACTTTTGAAAACTGTTTCAGTTTTATATTCTATACTGGAACACATTTTAAAAATCATCTGGTTTGTACTCGTTATAACTGGAACACTTCCATTAACTCTTCCGGTTTTATTCATTTTATGCATTATGGAACACTTTCAAGATGTGTTTCGGTTTGATTTTTTAATATTTATTTTATATTTTTTGGTTTATATTTGTTATTTTCAAAATGCGAACATCAGACCAAGACTGTAGGATTCTGTGTCGTAGGGCAGCACGCGGCGTTCCACAGACGGTGCCAGAAGAGAAGGGGCTTGTTGGTGCATCTTCATCCGCTCCACAATATGTTGGTGCATCTTCATCTGTTCCACAACCTACTGGCTTTCTAGGAGGGTCTTACGATACGTCTCTACTAGTGAAGTACGTGCAACATGTGGCTCAACATGTATGGTACGGTGAGGTAATAAGTAAAAGAAATTTAATCTATATCGAATAATTTTTTATTTTAAATGTGTATTTTTATTTGTTTTTAAATGTTTTTTTATTTGTTTTCAGGAGAGAGAGGTCTGAAGAAAGAGCTGAAAAGCTTAAGGAGACGATTCTTATTGCTCTCCCACTAGAGATATAGGATTTGGTGTCTAGGTTTGGTCTTACTTCTCTATAAATGACCAGCCTGACAAAGATAGATGTGAACCTTGTATCGGCATTTATAGAGAGATGGCATATAGAGACATCATAATTTCACATGTCATTTGGTGAGATGACTATTACTCTAGATGATGTTGCATGTTTGCTACACTTGCCCATCAGGGGGCGGTTCTTAATCCCGAGGATGTCACTGAGCAAGTTGCAGTTGAGCTTGTTATTGATTACTTAGAAGTGTCATGGGGTACTGCTGCCTGACATTTCTGTGAATGCATGGGTGCTTACTATAATTCGGCGTGGTTACATGATAGATTTGTGGAGCATCGAGATGCTAGCAGTTGGGCGTATGCGACTAGATGCTATCTGATGATATTGGTGGGTTGCACCATTTTTGTCGACAAGACCTATACGCTTGTTAAGGCACGATATTTTTTGTTGTTTAGGGACTTGGAGAGCCTTGGAGGTTACTGTTGGGGAGCAGCTGCTTTGGTTACTCTTTACAAATATCTTGGAGATGCATCCATGTTCAGCTGCAAGCAGTTTGGTAGATATCCTACTCGACTGTAGGTATTTATTTAACTTTATTGTATTTTAATTTATGTATTTTTATTACATTTGTTTACTAACAGTGAAATTTTGGTATACACATAACAATGTCCTAACACATGTTGAGACCAAGATCTTTATGTAAAACTACTTGGACAAAATAAACCATTTTGATATAATGCATATCAGGCAAAATATCATGGAAGATGTTCCAACATCTTTATATGACATGTCAATCAATCAAGAAATAAAAATATGACATTGCATAATGATAATAACACAAAGATAAGATGACCCAGTTTGGTGAATCGACACACCTACTCTATAGGCTACCAAACCAGGAAGAAGATCACACTATCAGTAGAATTATTTTATGAAAACAACCTTTGGTCTACATGGAAACAACTTCCATTTTACCTAATCCCTACCCGATATAATCTTTATCTCAGAAATCCCATCCAAGATAAGAGAAATTTATCTCACTCCCTAAATCACCTCAGTGATATCTAACAGCCACAACCTTTGGTGACTGCATCATACTACTTGAAAGACAATCTTCTCAAATAAAGTTCAGCCAAGACTCTTTACTAACTAACGCACTTGGATTTGCTTCACAACTTCATCCATGAACAATATACACAATTTATTACCCAAAGGCTCCTGAATCTGTATATACAATATTGTCTACCTCAATGTATCAAATCGATACAAAGGGTGACATACAACACAAAAAAGTCAGTGACTCTTAAAACACTAACCCTTATTCTAAATTTTGAAGTGTGACACAAGGATTAGTTAATAAGCCATAGGTCTAAGCCTTCCTTTTATAGACTTCATATAAACATGGACTTCGAATCTTTTGTTAAAATACTCCTTGATCCATTGCTAAAGTTCTCCTTAAATCTTTGAACAGATTTACTAAAATCCAGTTGTAGCAGTCCATAATGTCTAGACTTCATGGTAGGACATCTTGTTCGACATGTTGTTCTTCACATATTTTAACATCTTGGTCATCATCTTGTTTTACCAAAATTAGCCAAATCTTTAGAGCTCAAATATTTAGAGCTTTCAATCTCTCTCTTTTGGCAAATTTTGACTAAAATACTTTTGTATAATAAACCCAGGAACATTAGTCTAAAGCTCCTTTTACATAATAAACCCAGGAACAAAAGTTTTGAATTCATTTCAGCCAGAAGAACCTTGTACTCTTCATGTACATGAGGAATAAGATTACCAGATTGCACATCAGATTGCCGGAAGAACCTTGTACTCTTCAAGTACATGAGGAATAAGATTACCAGATTGCACATCAGATTATCTAGTTACTCTCCCTTAATTCAGGAATTGGTTCTTGGCACAAAGGGATAAATCTTCCTCTCTTGTGGCATAAGAGACCCTTAAGAATAAGAACTTGGAACTTTACCCTCAGCAATCAAACACCAACTTGGATAACTCAGAACACAGGACACAATTGTGTTCATAACTCAGATCACAAGACACAAGAAGAAACTGAGACATAACTCATACATGATGTTAGAACATCTTGTTAAACATCATGTTAAACATCCTTGCAAGAAAACTGCAGGGACATGCTCAACATCCAAATGATGATCAAGACTTTTCTCCCCCTTTTATCCAAAACTTGACAAATATACCCAAAACAGACCCACGCCCATATTATACTCACTCAAACACAAACAAAACCCATAAGACCACAACCTAGTAACACACACCTTGAAAGAGAGGATGAAGTAACCACCTTTTATACTCGAGCATGAACCTAGGAAGTAACTCTCTTAGGCTGTAACAACGGTCTTAATTAATAAAAGTAATGGCACAAATAATTGTGTACCATCCACGATATTGTTGAATGTTTCTTCTTTAGTGAGCACCATTAACAAAGCATTTTTCATGCCTTTAATTTTTCTGGACTATTTCTCCTGGAAATTAAAGTTCCAATGAATGAGTAGACATGGTCAAAGATGTGTTTCACACACCCTTCTGACACTTATTTGGATTCACTGTCCATAATCACCACTTGTTGATCTTCATATAGACATGTCCTAAACAATGTCTTGACATCCACCCAGACATTGTCTACTATCTCTTTTCCTCAAAAGAACCACCACATTTTTCAGTACAAGTTCAATAATTTGTCATACTAGGGACACAAGGAGATTTAAAAACAATTATTCTAGGAGGAACTCATAGACATTCATGTTTTAAAGCATAACAACAAATCATTTCACTAAATACATAAAGCACTTCTTTCAGCCAGAATTGAAAGACTTGAGCACAACATCTTCTATTTATTAACATAAAACTTCTACTGATACTGACTTCAGTTCTGCAGAGAAAAATAAATTCTCAAAAAAAATGAGTCTCATATCACACCCATGCACATGTTTGATTCAATCCACTTATTCTCCATTCGACATGATCAAGCCCACACTGCCACGTTCATCAAGACTTCTACCAGTAACATAATTTCTGGACATCACATCCTCACAAAGCACCTTTGACATAGCTTGTTTAACCTTTAAGAAATCTTTGTGAAGACTGAACTTCTACATTCCAGATAGAAGACCAATTCCCCCTTGTTCAATGTGAATGTTGAAGACATTCTCATATAGCTATGCTCCTTGAAAATACATCCAGACTCTCAGGACATATCAAAGGTATCAATAACACTCTCCAAAATGACAGGTCTTGTTTACTTGCTTAAGAAGATTCAAATTGATCTGTTCATTCTAGAGTAACTTGTAGCATCAGGAACCACTTCCCAACCAGCATGAGATAGTGAACTAGGTCTGATGTCCAACTCAGTCTCATTATAATCCAGAATATCCTCAAATGCAGACTTCTCCAAATCAAATGGCGAGTATTAATCACACTCTGACTCCAAGTTATCCAAATAAATAATGTTGTAATATCACATAGGACATCAGAGTTTGCTTATAAGTTCTCCCCAATGATCTCATAAGTCCAGTAGTAGTCTTCAAAAATTTTGCCTTGCAAAAGATAGAACACCCCTGAAAGAAATAAACTTTCATGCATCTTTTGACATGTGCTTGATTACACT